GAAACACTTCAGAAACAAACAGAAAGAGATAGAATACATTTCGAAGAAATTGCAATCTTACGATTGGAAGACTTACCCTCACAGATGTCTTCTTATCTTAGATGACTTTGCTTCTCATCCTTTGTTAAAGAACAGAGAACAAGACATGTGTCGAATTCTTAAGAAGCTCAGACACTTTAACATCTCAGTTGTCATTTGTGTACAGACAGCAAAGAGTTTAAGTAAGGATGTAAAGAGAATACTTACTGACATTGTACTTTTCCCCGGATTGTCCGAAGACGATTTCATGGAACTTATGAAAGAGTCCATGGCAGGTAAGTTTGGCAGACATGAACTATGGGGGAGGTACAAAGTCATACAAGACCCTCATACTTCTTTCAGAATTCACATCTACGCGAACAAAGTTCAAATTGTAAAAAGTCAAGCGTAAAAATATAAGTGTTAGTCTTAGTCTGCTTGTGGTGCTGGGGCTGTCGGTTCTTCTGGCTTTGGAATGGACTCGGTTGGTGGTACGTCGGACATTGTCTTGAAACAATAAAAGACTTGTCTTGAAAAAGTAAAAGACTTGTCTTGAAACAATAAAAGACTTGTCTTGAAAAAGTAAAAGACTTGTCTTGAAAAAGTAAAAGACTTGTCTTGAAAAAGTAAAAGACTTGTCTTGAAAAAGTAAAAGACTTGTCTTGAAAAAGTAAAAGACTTGTCTTGAAAAAGTACGGGTATCGTCTTCAATCAAGACCACTGTTCTCAAATTTGAGAACTTTACACCAAAAAATTTCTTGAAAAATAACGGGTCTTGTCTTGAAAAAGTAAAAGACTTGTCTTGAAAAAGTAAAAGACTTGTCTTGAAAAAGTAAAAGACTTGTCTTGAAAAAGTAAAAGACTTGTCTTGAAAAAGTAAAAGACTTGTCTTGAAACAATGACCGACATAGACCCAGCAGATGAGGCAATTTACCTTATAGAGCTACCTGAGCCATCTTTGGTGTCAAGCTTGAAAAATATATGGTTCATTTACTCTTCCTCTTTGAAGTTATCGAAATACTCTGTTATCTTTTCCTTCAGTAGCGGCAAATCTTCTTTGAATGTAAGTATTGTACAACCTTTCATATCATAGTGTGTTTGAGGTAACGTATCTTGAACTATCTGTTTAACATCTTCATTTGGTGTCATTGAAATCGGTAAGTTTTCACGATAGAACCAATTTCTGTCAGATTTGTAACTCTTAGCAAGGTCGTAAAAGCTTTTGTTGTTTCTTCTGACTAAATGCAACATAACCATATCTCTGTCTTCTTCATTTTCCATCTCTTCAGTGTAAATCATATACTTATAGTTCTTTTCCTTTCCTTTTGGTACCGAACGTGGTATTCTTTTCTGTATGTTTTTGTCTTTTGCTTCAATGACTTCATCTTTTGCTTGAAGTTTCTTTTCCATCTCTTCACGTTCTTGTCTATGAATTTCGTCAAGAAGTCTGTAAATATACCAAGCATAGCGAGGTGAAGCCCACATTGCAACAGCATTTACGAGAAGTCTATGTACATACCAACCTCTCAAACCAGGAGCCAAATTTTTACGATTTTCATGTGTTTTATGCAAGGCCGAGAATTCTCGGTCTAGAGAAATTTCACTCAAAAGTTCTTGTGTGCTTTGGTTTTTGAACCAGTCGTCTGCGTGTTTAGTATCTGGAGCAAAACATGCTGTCAAAATACTTTGCATTTGGTACATGTCATCTTTGACCGAACGAATGAGACGTAACTGTTTGTTAAACTGAACCCACTCGTATTCTTCATTTATGGTTTCATGAACGATAGCAGTTGTTGTGTTCTCTGTTGTTGTCATATCTGTCTTTACATACAAAATAAAAAATAAAATAAAAATAAAATTAGCGTTAATTTCTATCTTGTATAAAAGACCAAAAATAAACGCTTTACATGTATTTTTCAGCAACTTCGTCAAATAATTTTATAGCTTTGTCGATCTCATCTACTTCAAACGTTTCTTTACCTCTCGTGGGAGCACCATACATTTTCTCAAACTTTTCAAGTAGTTCTGTTTCAGCAGCTCTCATATCGTTAACGAACACAACCTTAACTCTATTGACTGTAGAGTCATATCTACTACTTATATTAAATGTTCTTCCTATCTTATATCTCTTTGTATTGAAGTCCTTCGGTTTCTGAACGATGTAAAGTAAGCCCTCACTGCAACGTTCAGTATCGAATGAACCATATGTTATGAAATTATATCCAACAACTGGGTCAATCCAGAACAAAACTACTGGTATAAGACTTTTGTCGATGAGATATGCTCTTGTTCCATAGAATCTTACCGATATCATAAGCTCAGGATTTCTTGTCAAAATTTTCTGAGTAGAAGCATTTCTAACCCAGTCGCTTGCTCTCTTTCCAGATGGAGATATAATGTCTGACAAAGAATATTTTTTGTATTTCTTTGAGTATCTTACGTTTAAATCACCAATTCTAACCACCTTGGTCTCATTGTCTATCTTTTTAACTGTTTCAAACTCAGTGCTTGTCATTTCCTGTTCTTACATACAAAATAAAAAAATAAAAAAAATAAAACTAACGTTGTTTTTTTATTTTTTCTATCTTGTATAAAAGATATGATTTCATAGAGTTTTTTCACGATTTTCATGAGTTTTAGGCAACCCCTGTAAAAGTCGGGGTAGCATTTTTTCACGATTTTCATGAGTTTTTTTTACGATTTTCATGAGTTTTAGGCGACCAGGGTTTTTCCCCTACTCGCATTTTTTCACTGTTTTCATAGAGTTTTAGGCGAGTGGTTTTTTTTTACTACTCGCATTTTTTCACTGTTTTCATAGAGTTTTTTTACGATTTTCGTACGGAATCTCTATCCTCGGTTTTCCTTGGGTAGCAAACATATGAGGAAATTCATGAAATTTGGTCATTTTTTTACGATTTCAGGGATTTTTTTACGAAGTGTCAAAGTTCTCTTCGTCAAAAAAATACAGTTATATCATGAAATTTGGTCATTTTTTCAGCAAAAATATATTTTAGATCTAACCAGGTCCCTCGGTCCCTCGGTCCCTCGGTCAACTAACATTTTTTTGAAAATGGTGACAACATGACATTTTGACAACAGTCCAGGAAATGAACTTCATCGTCAATGTTTTTGTCAAGACTTTCATCGTCAATGAGCGTAAATCAGACAAAAATATATTTCTAACATAACTATTTACAAGCGCTTTACATGGTATATGTTGTGATGGTTCATGACTTTAAACAGTTTTGTAGCTTCTATTTCTTCACGAAGGATATCAAAAGTTTTAACAATGCCGAAAGTTTCTTTATATTTCTTCTTGACATCAGATAGAAGGAAATCGTTAGCAGTTGGATAGTTTTTGTTCAGAAATGTCAACATGTCCATTTTATCTTCTGCTGGTTTCTCTACTTCTTTCTTTAAGTCAGTATAGTCTTTTCGCATACGTTCTATCTCTTTGACGGAGTAGTTATATTTCCTTGTTGCTGCTTTACATTTTGAACATTGTGGGTTCATTTTTGCATTGTACATTGAAACCTTACCTGCAAGTATGACTAAGGCGTAAATGGTTTTCTTTAACTCAAAAGTTGCTGGTTTTATCTGTTCGTTCCATACTTTACCTCTTCTATCTTTATCTCTTATCTGCCATACACATTTTGCAACTAACGAAACAAAGTTGTCGTAGGTCTTAAATTCTTCAGATTTGTATATGTCAATGAAATATACCATATCGCAGTCTTTGTGGTTGCAATGAAATCCAAGAAACTCATAGTTTACCTTACGTATGAACTTCTTGGTTTCTACTGAGTCAGTTGCTTTGACTTCTATTTCATCGAATTCAGGAATAGTAAGCTTTTGTTGTTGTATTTCAGGAAGTTTAGGTAGATGTTCCACCAGGTCCTGCATTTCATAAAGATACTGTTCATTTGTTTCATCTTTCGCACTACAGTCTAAATCTCCTTGGAGAAGTTCTTGCTTTATCTTCTGGATTTCTGTTTCGAAAGTATATGAAGAAGGAATGAAGCTTTTCATCTCTACTAACATTGAAGTTGGGTTCATGACTAACGAGTTTGGTGCTGTTGTTGCTGACATGTTCTTACAATAAAATAAAAAATATTTTTTTAAAAAAAACTAAAATATATTTTTGCCGAATTCAAGAGTTTTGTGTGTTTTCTACGGTCGAGCCAAAAGTGGCTCGACCTCAAAACAAGCATTTCGTGAAGAATATACCAACCCGCGGAATTCCGCGGGTTGCTTTTTATACAAAATTCAACGGGTGAAAGAATACGATGAAGAAGTCATGACAAAACATTTACGATGAAAGTCTATTTCCTGTGTTGTTGTCAAAATGTCATGTTGTCACACTTTTTCAGAGAAGTTAAAATGACCGAGTGACCGAGTGACCGAGTGACCTGGTGAGATCTAAAATATATTTTCTATCTTAAGGAAATTCATGACAAAACATTTACGATGAAAGTCTATTTCCTGTGTTGTTGTCAAAATGTCATGTTGTCACACTTTTTCAGAGAAGTTAAAATGACCGAGTGACCGAGTGACCGAGTGACCTGGTGAGATCTAAAATATATTTTCTATCTTAAGGAAATTCATGACAAAACATATACGATGAAATCTATCTCCTGTGTTGTTGTCAAAATGTCATGTTGTCACCATTTTCAAAAAGATGTTAGTTGACCGAGGGACCGAGGGACCGAGGGACCTGGTCGCCTAAAATATATTTTTGCCGAATTCAATAAAAAAAATGGTTCATTTACTCACAATATTTTTGTACAAAACGACCCCAAACTTTTAACCTCTCTTCTGTAGCTTCTAATGAAACTTTAGCGAGTTCATATTCTCTAAATTCTCTCTTTAAATCTTCTTGTTCCCATTGGTCTAGTTCGTATGGAGAGTCTCTATAACCAGAACATATCTCATGTTCATGTTCTATTTTTTCGCGCATTTTTCTAACTTCTTCTTCGAACAAAGGTTTTGCATTCTCTGCTGTATCTTCAAGTTCTTCTTCATCTAATTTCTCATGAACTTTCTTGTCTATGGAGTCCAGAATTTTTCCAACTGCTATGCAATATTTTGGAGAAGCCCACATTGCTATATAGTTTACGAGTCTTGGGTCTACATACGTTCCTCTAACCTGTTTGATTTCATCGGGAATTCCTGCATGAACTGTGTATAAAAAGCAACCCGCGGAATTCCGCGGGTTGGTATATTCTTCACAAAATGCCTTAAAATACTCTTCCCAGGACTTATTTTCCAACAACCTTCTAAAGTCTTTCCTAAACTGCTGACATATCTTTGTTGCATTTATATAACCATCCTTGTCTCTACGTAAGACTTCAATACCGTTATAGGTGCCTTTTGTGAATGTTTCGCCATTAGATTTGTTCGTGAACGTTTTTGCTTCGACTGTCATACTGTTCTTACAATAAAAATAAAAAATATTTTTGGCTTAACCGTCGGACATTCGTTTTTGGCTTAACCGTCGGACATTCGTTTGTGGCTCGACCTCAAAACAAACATTTTGTGAAGAATATACCAACCGCCGGAATTCCGGCGGTTGCTTTTTTATACAAAATTCAACGGGTGAAATCTATCTCCTGTGTTGTTGTCTAAATGTCATGTTGTCACACTTTTTCAGAGAAGTTAAAATGACCGAGGGACCGAGGGACCTGGTTCGCCTAAAATATATTTTTCAATACTTTTTCAGCACTTTTCCGTAGTTGTATATGAAAGACAATTCGAGATAAAAGTCATAGTACAATGAAATAATATGCTGCACACCGTTTGTTGTGAACCAGACTTGAAAGTCAGCGAAACTGTTACTAGGTGGTTCGTAGAATTTAGAAGCAAAGTCATAAAAGTCCTTACCGATACAAAGAAAACTGTTGTTGCTTGAACTGAAACTTGCATGACACATGACATTTTGAGGGTCAAACACGTTTCTATAAACTGTCAAATCTGTTGGTGGGAGTATAAATTTAAATGGACCATCTGGTGGCAATGGTTCGTTCTGGTTTAGTAACCGAAGAAATTGTGCCCAAGAACGTCTGTCCACCCCCCAATATAAAAACTCTGTATCTCTTGGAGGGTTAATTTCAATCTTTTGAAATGAAACTGTGGAGTTCATCTTGTCGTATTCTAGCTTCAGATAGTATGTTCCATTTAGTAAAGAGTGGTATTTTTCTTGAAATTCCCAGTAGTATTTGTTTATTTGAGTTTGAAAGTCATTTAGAGTTTTTTCAAGACTTTCGTCTGAACGAATTGTAAAGATTTTCATTTCGTCAAATTTTTCTATTAGACCGTCAGAACCTTTATACTGACCGTGAAAATATACTGCGAACATGAATGCGTTAGTTCTATTTGAAAACAAAACTCTTCTAAATCCTATTGCCTTTGCATCTGAAGGACTTTGAAGCCAACAAATTGGATAGTTAAATCTATATGCTCGGGATAAAATTTCTTCATCTGAAATAGTCCTACCAGCGTTTGTAAAGATATAGTCTAACGGTTTTGTATCTGCTACTTTTGTTCTTTGTTTTTCAACCTGAAGCATTTTATATATGTAAAAATATACTGTTTTAAAAAATGTTTTAAAATGGTATGCAATGTTTTATTTCATGCAATGTTTAACTATTTCACCATCTTCTTTAACACCCCAGTACTTACGCTTGGAGAGGACATGAACTTCGGAAAATACCTTGTCTAGCTTAAAACAGCCCATCTTTTCACCGACTAAACCCATTTCAATGAGTTTGTTGTATCCTTCTTCGTTCGTCATGAGTGCGTCAATGTTCTCATAGTATACCACAATTTTGGATTTAACCTCTGAGAAGAATTTGTTGTAGTTGTCAAGGACTGCCTTTGCGAACTGAGGATAAGACCAATGTTCGACAATAGGTTTTACTGTGGTTACTAAGCCACCTTGACCTTCGGTGAACTCGTATTTCAAAACAAAAGGGGAGAACCTTTCAACAAAGTTGTCGACCTTCTCATAGTGTTTACTCTTCATCTTTTGAGGTTTTTTAATGGAATACCCCCATGTCGAATTCATAAGCAATTTGAGTGTCATTGCAAGTTTGGGGTTTGAAGCTTTCCTAATATCATAGAGTTGTTGTATGACTTTTCCAACTGTATAGTTCCTTCCCGGGAACTCACCATTTTCGTTTGGAATTCCAGTTGGAATATATTGGACGAACCTCATGTACGCAGCGTTAAGGTCGACATAGTATATTTTTTCATATGAGTCGAACTTGTCGCAACCAATTGGTCCAGTTCGTGGAAATTCAAGTGAGTCTCTTATCTTCTGAGAAACCTCGCCTGTTATCTCATAAACATCGTCAAAGCAACCTGTTTCATATAAAACCTTCTGACCTAACTCTGATGCTCTCCAATACAATTTGAACGTCAATTGGATGTCTCATGGAAGTTTGTTTATAGCATCTTGAAGTTCTTGCAACCTCATTGGAAGTTCTTCTGGTTCAGGTTGGTATCCGAACAAACCAACTCCTTTTGGAACTGTGTACTTCTTTTGTGCTATAACTTTGTCTGGAACAACTTTTGGTCTTGCTAACAATGAAAAGTTTGTTTCGTCTTTTGGTACAAAAGTTTCTGTCAGCTTGTCATCTGGAATTGGTTCCAACAAGCCTTTCTCGAAAAGAATGTTAACAGCTCTGACAATGTTGCACTTGCCTTTTCCGAACAATGGGTTTGTAAGACTTTCGTTCAAATGAAGTGGTTGTGGACAAGTACAATCTTCAACCATGGTAAGTCTTTGTCAACAACATAGTCGTCATGTGAAGAACCTTTCTCAGTCGGAATGTTGACTCGGATATTCACATTTGCCAACGGTGCAACTTTTGCCAATTGACCTCTGAGAATGTACCTTGTCTTCACACATGACTCAAGATACTTCATTTTCTCATCTGTAACAAGACCAGAGTTCCTGAGACATGTAAGAATACAAGGTTCATTGACAATTGTTTCAATTGAATTGTAAATTCCATACCTTGTCAAGTCAATGTCAGACTTATTTCTGAACGGGAAGTATCCAGCATGTTGTCTGACTGCTTGAGGGTTGGGTTGTAACCATTCGAACTTCACGCTTGCAATTCCTTCTATTGCATTCAAAATATCTGAGTCGGAGTCAAACATTTGTTCTCTCTTTGTAGTCTTGAAAGCGTCAAGAAGTTGTGCGGCTGTTGTGACATTGCCATGTGAGTAGTATATATGACCATCTAAATCTGTTACGGTTAGTCTGAGATTGTATCCTTTCTTATTTCCGTCTTGAATTGCAGCAAGTACTCCCATGAAGCCTTCTTTGTTCTTTCCTTCTTCAAAATTTACTGTAAAGGTTCGACCAGAAGTAATTTTACTTCTAACCTCGCGATACTTCTCATATGCATATCTTGTTCTTTCCATGGGAGCATGACCATCTTCACCTTTTCCTTTTTTCCTCCTCAAGGGATGCAATTGTTCGTCATGTTTCCAGTAGAACCTGGCAAAGCCGTCGTGTCCTTCAACCTGAGGTTCATTAACATCGAAAGGCATATCCATAAGACGCTCTTCTTCTAACCTCTCTAGTCTGTTTGGATAATTTGTGCGTGCTGTTTCCAATTCCATTTCGTAGGTCAGACCAGCCAGTTTGTCATAGACTTTTATTGGCTTTCCCTTCCTATATTTAAACTTCTTTGAAACTCTCCAACCATATCTTTCTAACTCTGCTTTTATTCTAGCAGATTTTCTGTCCATTCTATATGGGGGCATTTCTATAAAAATAAAAAAATATACTGTTTTAAAATGGTATGCCATATAGCTTCTTGAATTTGTTAAGAAGTATTTGAACGTTTTTTCCATCTGTATCTCTAGTGTTTACATAAGCATAGCCTGCCTTAGTAAAATATACTTGTAATTTCCTATAGTTTACGCCGGTATAAAAGTAGAAAGAGTCTTGTTCTTCGCTATAGTAGTAAAACTCAAACGTATGCTTGCCATAGTCTGTAATTTCAATTGTTTCATCTTCTAGTTCGTCGACAAATTCGAATACAATATCTCCAAATTTGCCTATGTTCTTATTGTTTTCAGAACAAGTGACCCAGCGTAAGTTTTCAAGTCTATTGTCGTTTCTTATATGGTTTATATGGTCTACAAAAGGTAAATTGTTAGGGTTCGGTATAAAATGAGTTGCAATGACAACATGTTTTAAATAGCATTTCCCACCCAGATTCATCATAGCATATCCGTCATTTCGCTCCCATCCGCTTAAAACTCTTTTTGTCTTTTTGTTTCTGACTTCAAATGACTCACAACAGTGAATTTCATATTTCTCATCTAACAAACAAGTTTCCCAACGGTCTTCTCCAACAAACTCAGCGTACATTTCAAATAAAATAAAAAAATGTTTTTTTGAAAAAAATGTTTTGTTTTAAATGGTATGCCATTTCATATTTCTCATCTAACAAACAAGTTTCCCAACGGTCTTCTCCAACAAACTCAGCGTACATTTTTATAAAAATAAAAAAATGTTTTTTCTTTACTTTACATAACTGCCCGCTACCATAAGTCTTTGACGCCAACCCATACCAGCTAATGAAGGTTGACTTGGTTTAGTATTGAAACTAACCTTTGGTTTTGGTTTATCTTCAGTTTTTGGTTTTTCTTCTTCTATCGGTTTTTCGTCACTTTTCGGTTCATCTGACTTTACCTCACTTGCTGGAATAGTTGTGTCGTTAGTATCTTCATAAATGTCATATGCCATCTGTTTTTGTTTTCCTTTCAACTTTTTGTGTTTGTTGTAAAGTTTAGAATATTTCGACTCTAAGTCAATGAGATGTTCTATAATGAACTGTTGGTCAGTGAAGTAAACTTTTCCATCTGTTGTCTCTTTAGTTCCTTCAGACTTCAATATTTTATTTGTGAGAGTCTGTTTCTTTTTTGAGATACTTGCCGTTCCATTTTTATGAAAAGTGACTTTGTAGTTAGGGTTTGTATTTCCAGACCTCACACTTTCTATTATTGAATTTTTCTCTTCATCTGTAAGTTCTTTGACAGGTTTTGACAATGGTTCTGAACTTTTTGTTTGTGGTGTCAAATCTACCGTTTCAACTTCTTCGGTCATTTCATCTCAGTAAAAAATTTTAGTTTGGTTTGTTTTTCAACTGGTTGTTGAGGTTTTTTAAGTCGGTCTAAAACTTCCTGAGGTATAGGAAGAACTTGACAAACACGTGGTTGTGTAACTGCTGGAAGCCGACAAATCCATCTTGAGCCCATTTGTCTCAATGCTGTATTGTTCATTTCATCTCAGTAAAAAATTTTACATTCCCCACGTTTGAGGCGGTTGCGGTTGGTTGTTGTTTACCCACTGTTGTGCATGGTTATATCCTCTGTTAAAGAATCTTTCACCTTGGTCCATATAGT